CCCCAAGTTACTATGGAAGCAGAGGAGGGACACCTCAACAAGCCCCAGGAAGTGGTCACTGACAAATTATTTGAACAGACCAGGGTCCAAATCCTGGTATCTGTAACTTATTAACTGAGACCTCAAGTAAATCCTTAACTTCTCTGCCTTGGTGCAAAATGTGTATAGTAGTTCTTGCTCCACAATGCCAGCATGATTGTTCACTGAGAAAATGATTATAGTAGAGGAGTGTTGAATGTCCATTAGCAGGTGTGGTTAAGTGGATACATCATGATAAATGAATTAATGCAGTATTATGGAGTTAGGAGAAATAAGTTGTTCTGTATGTTCCCATAGGTATCAAAATCAGACAAATGTTATTAATAGGATAGTATATAATTTGCTGCCATTTGTGTCAAAATTCTTCTTTTTATTTTTTATTGTTTTATTTTTTTTGAGACAGAGTCTCACTCTTCACTCTGGGGCCCTGGGTAGAGTACTGTGACATCATAACTTACAGCAACTTTAAACTCTTGGGCAAAAGAGATCCTCTTGCCTCAGCCTCCCGAGAAGCTGGGACTACAGGTGCGTGCCACAATGCTGGGCTAGTTTTTTCTATTGTTAGTAGAGATGGGGTCTCACTTTGCCCAGACAATCCACCTGTATCAGCCTCCCAGTGTGCTAGGATTACAGGTGTGAGCCATCACACTGGCTGTGTAAAATTCTTTAAAACGTATGGTGGCATATATCTATACATGTGCTTGCAATCTGCCTAGGCCAGTGTTTTTCAGACTTTTTGTTGTTGTTATTGATCATAAAGGTTTTTTGTTTGTTTGTTTGTTTGGCTTTTTTGAGACAGAGTCTCACTATGTCGCCCTCGGTAGAGTGCTGTGGAGTTACAGCTCACAGCAACCTCAAACTCTTGGGGTTAAGCAGTTCTCTTACCTCACCCTCCCAAGTAGCTGGGACTACAGGCGCCCACCACAACACCCAGCTATTTTGTCATTGTTCTTGTTGTTGTTGTCACTATTGTTTAGCTGGCCCGGGCCAGGTTCAAACCCATCAGCCCTGGTGAATTGGCCAGTGCCCTAACCACTGTGCTATAGGTGCCAAGTCTGATAATAAAAAACTTTTTTTTATTTCAGGTTAATGTGAGGATACAAACAACAGGTTATAATATCTGCATTTTTTTAGGTAGAATCCCTCTTGTAATTGTGTCCCACCCCCCAAATGTGTGCCATCTACCCTTACATCGTGCCCATTAAGTGGGAGCACCTCAATCCCCCCTTCTCTTCCCCTCATCCTTCCCTCGTTCATCTCAGGATACGTTTGGACCTATAGTTAAACTTTCGTGGCACACTGGTTGAAAATCACTGGCCTTAGACTCTCTGAAGCAATACCCAAGTAACTGAAGGTGCTTGCCTTGGAGAAAAGGAACTGGGGACCAGGAGTGGGAGAACATTTTGCTTTCCACACATGCCCATTTGTGCTGCTTAAGTCACCATATGCCTTTATTATGTGAAGAGGAGCTTTTAAGAATTTTTCATAAAATAAAATGATTTAAGCTTATATTAAGATGGTGTCAATTTACTATGGCTTTCAATGTTTTTACATGGCAGTTTTTCGTAATCTTCTCATGAAGTAGTAAGGATGTACTTGGAATACGCACACTTAATCTAATCCACTTACCAGCTGTGGAATCTTGTTAAAGTTATTTAAGCACTCTAAACCTCAGTTTTCTTCTGTAAAATAGGGAGTAATAATGACAACTACCTTATAAAGTTGTGAAAATGAGATCACATTAATTGAGTGGGAAGTAGGTTATTCAGGGTACATGGCAAAGCATTCACATGTTCATTGTATAATAATTGATACTGAAAGTCTGTATCTATCAGGTCTTGGTTGCAAGTGTTAGTAATCTAACTCAGCTGCCTTATACCAAGAGGATTTGTTGGCTCACACAAATGAAATTCTGTCATCTAGCTGCCTTTGTGTGTGGCTGTATCTAGCACCTATCTTGAAGACATTGGGACTCAGTCTTTCTCCGGCTCTTTCTTCTGTGTTGGCACAATTCCCAGCTATCTCCAGGCCTGTCTCATAACTCTTCAGTGATTCCCAACAACAATCCCAGGCTTGACTGATTCGTCTTGCATTGGTCATGCATGGGTCCATTCTTATACCAGACATGTTAGCCCTGAGATTAGAATACACTGATTGGTGAGCATGATTATAGTACTTACCTCTGCAGCCTTGATCAGCCTTAGGAAGAATCAGCCTAAAATGTAGAGCAATCTTAGGCCTTTTGTTTTCAGGCTTGGAGACTTAAGAAGAGTTCCTTCCCCACAGGGAAAACATAGGGGTAACAAACACTGAGCAGGCAGAAACTGTGGGTGCACTCCACAGCCCACTGCCTGACTGCTACTCTTCCTTTCAAATGTAGGTTTTCAGAAATGCTCCACATTATGACTGTATCATCACAGAAGCACATTATCTTGCATGAGTTAGCATGTACCTTGATTATAGTAAAAGTTACCCTTAAAATGCTGTAGCAAGGTGCGGGTTGAGCTCTACACAGCATCTCACATATTCTCCCTTTACTCTCTCTTGGAGCCAAAAGGCCGGTCCTTCTGTGGAACCCCAGAGACATTAGTTGTTTACTGCTCTGGGCCATGTAACATGAAGATCTGCAGTTCACTGTAACAGCACACTTCCAGGTTCCCATCTCAAAGTGCTGTAAGCAAAAAGGAGATGTTATTGGCCAATGCAACCGCAAAGTCTAAGAAAGGTCAACTGTTGCTCAGTGCATGACCATAGTCAATTTGCATGGTTATCTGGGACCCTCTCTCACCATCTTTCCTCTCTGCTCTTCCCCTGGGAGGCTCCATTCTCAGGTAGTTCCAGAAAAATTCCTGGGGTTAGCCTTTGTCCACCTACCTGTGGTCACATGCTACTTAACCCCAGTCACTTTGAGGAAGAGGAGGGAAAGGATGGCACACAATGATCGGCTGAGCCTGGGTCAGCTGTACAGAAATGCACTTTGGCTGAGAGAGGGAAGGGGTGGCTCCCCCTAAAATGGTAAGGGAACTTCTACTTGATGGAAGAAGGAATGCCATGTGGAACAACCAAAAACAAGAGGCCCACATGAAATTTTGGAAGGCCAAAATGAAATTGAGAAAGCAAATCACCAACTTGTCCTTCCTGGACCATGAAAGTAATGTTCAGCTCCGTGCTGTCCAGCAGAAAGATCATGAGTGCCACAAATGCAAGCCCCTTACTAGAAAACCATATATAAAAAGAAATGGGTGAAATAATTTGCATACTACATTTGACCCTTGAACACAACTGAGGTTAGGGGCACCAACCCTCACACAGTCAAAAATCCACATATAACTTTTGACTTGCAAAACTTACAGAATAGTCGCCAACTGTTATCCTTACCAATAACATAAATGGCCAGTTAACACATATTTTGTATGTTAAATGTGTAATGTATTATAATAAAATAAGCTAGAAAGAAGAAAATATTAAGGAAGAGAAGATATAGTCGCTATCCATTGATGGACGTGAATCATAAAGGTTGAATAGACTGAGGGGAGGAAGCGGAGGGTATAGTCTTGCTGCCTGGGGGTGACATGAGCAGACCCATGCAGTTCAAATTTGTGTGTTGTTCGAAGGCCAATTATATTTTATTTAATAATGGTTTATAAAACCTAAATAGCATTCACCATGGAATCGTCAAAATTGTTGAGATATTTTGCCCCTTTTTTGTACCAAGCCTTCAAAGTCCAGTGTATATTTTATTCTTTGTGGCATGTGTCACTTTGGATGAACTAGTAGCCAGCGGCTACCATAGTGGACAGTGCTGGTTTAGCTGATAACTCTGCACAGAGAAGCTGGATATCTGTCACCAGCTGGTAAATTATCACTTACGTTTCAACATCATGGGGAGTTATTCTGGATTTGCAAATCCCTTCATTGGAAGAATCTGCCTGAAAAATTAGCCTAAATACACACTGCCATGCTGGGTGTCTGGTTAGAGCCACTTCTGTCTAAACCTGTCATAACCCATCCAGTTAGTACTTAATTACTTATTTATCTGTCTTCTGTCTTAGATTCTAAGCCCTACCAAGGCAGGGACCTTTATCTATCTTGCCCATTGCCCAGTACATAGAGGACCCTATGTGGATATTTTAAAATGAAATGAAGTTAAGTTAAAAAGTTAGTTGATGGCTTCTCACTTGCCAGACTAGATGACAAAATGGAGAAAATGGAGAAAGTAACCCTGGTTGAGGCCCAAGATTACATGTGTGCGATGTTTGTTTTTCTGATGAAGGACCGTTTGTAGTCTGTGGCTAGTTGTACTATTCAATCACTCTTTCTTTCATTGAATATACAGTATATAGAGAGAGGGATTGAATACCTACAGAACCCCAGGCTCTGTGCCAAGCACTGGGTATACAAAGATGAATGGGAAACAGTCCCTGCCTTAAAGGAAATGAGAAACAGATAAGTAAAGTAACTCTTACAATAATATCCAATAAATGTTTGGATACGAATAAATACTGTTTGGGGAGCCCAGCGAAGGGGGTCCAGTGCGGGTCAGAGGATACAAGGTAGGCAGGAACAGCTCACTGGGGAAAAGCAGATTTAAGCTCGTTGGCACTGGTGATATTCGTACCTACACTCAGAGCCCCTACGCTGAGCTCCACGCTCAGCGCATTTATTGAATCGATGACATGATGAGCAAAGTGGCTCCTGAACCAAATGCTGAAGAATCTCTGGGTTTGTCCGTCTAAGCTTGGATGCATGATCACAGCAGGTGAAGAGAGAGCGTGCGTGACAGCCAGGCCTCCAGAGCTGGGATCCTGGCTCCAGAGAATGACAAGATGCTGAGTGGGGTGGAGCAGAGGGGTGAGAGCTAGCACAAGCCTGCAGCGTTTGGCAGGGCAGGCAGCAAACAGCTTCCCTTCTTCTTCTTGTCCATATGACCAGTGACGAACGACCACGCTTTCTTATTACAGGCAAAGAGAAGGCTGGAGCTAGGAGAAAGTGGTCATCAGTACCTCTCAGATGGTTTAAAAACCCCCAAGGGCAAAGGAAGAGCTGCACTCCGAAGTCCAGATAGTCCAAAAAGTAAGGATTCTTTCATCTCTTTCCTTATTCTCCTCGGTATGGGATTCCCAACTTTGAAAGCTTGTGGCTGGAAGGATGCCACGGTGTGAATAATTTTGGCATGTTTTGTTCTTTTTCATTTCTTTCTGTGCTTATCCAAAAAAACAAAACACAGTGTGGGCAGCGACAGGCTACAGAGTCACTCTGGTACCTGAATACTGACCTAAAGGACTGCTTCTTTAACCGTATGCAGTTTTCATTTTTTAACTCAGAATACAGCTTTTGGCATCGTTCCGTAATCAAATTTAATTTTAACTTCCCTTGGTGGATATTGCTTCAGAGTCTGTGACAAACTGAGCGGCCACAAACTATGCCAGAGTCAGGAATGTCTGTGCCGACCTCCATCTCCAGCTCAGCATATGGTGGCATAAGAATTGATTAAGCCCAGAAAATTGCAGCTCCCTCCCCTTTCCGTCTAATACTATTATCATTACTTGTGGGAGAAAGAGAAAAATAAGTTAGAAATGCCCAAACAGTTCCTTTGTGTGTGTCGCATTTAATGTAAAGACTTTGTTCTTTCCTTTCCTGTAGTTTATGCATTAGGCAATCCACAAATTGGGTGTGATGCTAAATTAAAACCTTGACCTGTGTGCCTGTGAGTGAACAAGTACAATATTCAATGAGGAAGTGTCACCTAAGCACGATGGGGAGATTTGATAGAAAGACTTCTCCAGGTATTAATTCGTCGAAACGAAGCATCATTTGAAAAACTAGTTAGTGAACAAGGGGCACACACGCAGACACTGAAGCCTAAAGGTCAGTTAAGACCTTAGGAACCCTGTCCCTCGGTGCTGGAGAGCCTCCTAGTCTGCTCCGAGGGAGGCCCCACCTGCCCTGATCTGAGGCCAGAAGCCTTGTTCACTCTCTCAGCAAATAGTTGTGAGCACCTACCAAGTGTGAGCCATTAGGCTCGGGGAGTAGGGTAAGCCAAAGCAGAAACTCAGAAATCGCTAAGTGAAACGCTGTGGTCCAACGCAGAGATTTCCACTGTGCCTTCCTTTTCTAATAAAGCAATTCCATAGCTTCTGTAACTTGCCAAAATCAACAGCAACCACAGCTTTGCTTCTGATGCTAATATGTGGGCTGCAATGGGGAAGAGGGCTTGCTGAACTGCAGAAACACCCTTCATTTCTTTACCTTTCCCCCACCCCCCCCACCCGCTCGGTTTTTGTTTTTCTTTAAGCTCCAAAATCTCCCTCAGAAAAAACGCGGTATGATACGTCCCTTGGTCTGCTCACCAAGAAGTTCATTCAGCTCCTGAGCCAATCACCTGATGGGGTCTTGGATTTGAACAAGGCAGCAGAGGTGCTAAAAGTGCAAAAGAGAAGGATCTACGATATCACCAACGTTCTGGAAGGCATCCACCTCATTAAGAAGAAGTCTAAGAACAACGTCCAGTGGATGTGAGTAGGAGTCCACAGCCCCCACCGCCCGCCCCGGGGGCCGTGTCACACTGCTGCCTCTCTTTCCCCAGCTCCACTTCCACACCCAGCCCCACGCGTCATCTCTTTTCTCTCCTCTTCTCCCTCGTTCTCTCTTCTCTCAGCTTCTTAGCCATAAGTTCAAAGTCTCTTTACAGACAGACTTTCTGTTTGGATATTTTCAGAGATAAAAGGATTTATATTTACCTAGTGTCCCCCCACTGTCCTGGCTGTTCGCTGGCCACATTGCTGTCCATGTGTGTTCACGTGACGCGTGCACATGTCTTCGGCTTGTTCTAACAGGAATTTAGAAGTTCACCGTGGCTTCCGAGTCATCTGTGTGTACATTCCTATTTGCACAAAGTGTCTTTATGCCTGGTAACAGTAACAGGTTTAACTCACTCTCTGTATAAATTAAGGCAAGACTTCAATGTCTCTATTTCTCCTGCAAAGTAGGGATATCACTTGTTACCTGCACACCCACATGTATATTACCTTATTTGTAAATTTTGGACAGAGCATCTGAACAGCCGAGGACTGTATCGAACTATTATTAGAGCCTTTTGGAAGGAATAAATCTGTTAAGGGGTGTGTCTGAAAAAATACTGATGCAGACATGATACCAGGTGACTTCTGGGCTTCTTGGAGTTTTGTGACAGTTTGGATTACCATTCTGGCCACGATTGAGAGACACGTACTGAGTACTGGGGAATGCACCACACACATTTGTTTCCTTTACTTCCTTCTTTTTTTAGGTATTGGTCTAAGACCCTCAAAAATTATCTGAGTCTTTCATGCTTTTTGGGTGATTTGTTTTGAATTTTGAGCCATTTCAACTTTTCTATTTTTCTATTCTCCCCCCCTCCTTCACCCCCACCCCCAGGCATGGTGAGGGAGGGGTAGAGGTGACTGCTTTCTTTTGCCCTCGGAATTAGAGCCCTCTGAAGAAATAGGCCTCTTCTGGAGGAAAGAACCCTGAGAATAGATGTGCTTTTTCACTTAATTTCCATGGTGTGAAAAGTTCAGGACTATATTTATGAAAAAAATCTGTGCATGCATAACTGTTCTTGTTTTAACACTTGGCTAACAAGCAATACGACCTCCCATGTCAAGAGGGGACGTTCACCCAGATGGCCATTTCCCCTTTCCTCCCTCTCCTGCACAGCCATGAAGAGTCTCTGTTTGGGTTTGCAGGGGCTGCAGTCTGTCTGAGGATGGGGGCATGCTGGCCCAGTGTCAGGGCCTATCCAAAGAAGTGACCGAACTCAGTCAGGAGGAGAAGAAATTAGATGAACTGATCCAAAGCTGCACCCTGGACCTCAAACTGTTAACCGAGGATTCAGAGAATCAAAGATATCCTTTGTGCCACTGGTTCACTGGAGGGTAGTGCTTTCTAGACTATTGCCAGAGGTGACGGTCGGACTGACACACAGGTAGATTTTCACTCTGGTTTCACACAAGTAAGTGTGTGCATGGTTGTGCATGTGGGCTTAACCCTCTCAGCTTTGCCTAAGAAGTCAGTATGTATGACTGATGAGTCATCAGACTGGTTCTTTTCATTATCTAGTTTGGTAAGTCAGGTGGGAGTTGTTTGTTAAAGTCTTTTATTCGTGTATAGTTGAGACATATGGGTATGCTTATAGCTTGAGGCCATACTATTAAAAAATAGATAGGGTGTCTTATTAATATTAATGACAACACTAAGTAGATTCTTCCTAGATTGGGGGTGGGTGTTAGCTGTCGCTGTTGGGGTTTGCACATTTTATTTCATTTTCCTCAGATATGGTAGCAATTGAAATTCATTGAATCTACCTGATGGGGCTATAGTTGAAGGTTTAAAAGAATACAGGAAAATTGCACTGCAACTTTTAAAGTACATTAGGCTGATTCCTACCACGAAAAGCTGATTTCAGAAGCACCTTAAAACCTGAGAAATCTCAGTTCGTCTTGTTCCTCCATAAACATCAGTCTTTGGAAGTAAAAATATGAAAAGCAAATTCTTGTTCCCAACTTGCTGAAAATCTGTTGACCATCTCAGGAAAACTTGCTATTCATCCCCTCACTACAGACAAAATTAGAGAGAGGTTGCTTCATTATGCCAGCGAGATTTGCCTATCAGGTCAGTTACTGGTAGAAGACAAACAGTACTTTGAGTTATCCCATCTCTAGTTTTACCACCAAACTTCTGATGGTTCCACATGCACCTTTCGTAGAGAATGAAATACGTTCTGCCCAGATTCTTCCAGTGTCTCATCTTGACCAGGCCCTCCCTGAAAGGTACTGGGGGACATTTGTTTTCCAGTGCTGGCAAGTTTTTTTAACCTGCAGTTGTTCATTTCCTGTTGACCAAAGAATTAACCTTGTCAACTACTAATTAGTGAGATGGAGAAGAGATGTGATGATTTGGACCCCCAGTGGTGGCCAGAGTGGCTTTACAGGGAAAGAAACCAGTAGTCGGGTTGTTTCATTCATTGTTTGGTTGGGAGCCCTGTTGTGGAAAAGACTTGTGGCTACATATGATTGGCAGCCTTCTGGAACATGTGGCTTATACCATTGTCACCTATGTGGCTTTCTTTGGAGCCTTTGTTCCAGAACATGAAAGTGTCCTTGCAGGGGACTGTGAACCCAAGGAGCAAATTCAGGAGAGAGTCACAAAGGAAGTACTTTTAAGTTTGTAAGATTAGAAAATATGTTTGCACAATTTATTTCAATTCACCATTCAGTTCCCAAATTGGTACAGCTTGTTCACAAATGTGTTGAAATTTTCCTTCCTGCAGCATGTTGAGTAATTGTAGATGAGTTTTTATTTTAATAAGTTCTTGTCACATAGCTTTTTGACAGTGGGCTGTAGACTAGGTACCTGTTCATCAGTCACCCCAGTGTTCTCAGAAGAAGTTTGGAATTGCCCAGTTTTCTATAAAAGGCATCAGTTGACTTCTCTGATGGAGTCAATGGCACCATGAAACCAGGAATCCTGCAAGAGCTGCCGTTATTGGGCTCAACACTGAACTGGCCCTTGTCCCAGCTATAGAAACTTGAAGAAGATAGTCTATGATAGACACCCCTAGAGGTATACACAGACTCTGTGTGGATGCACCTTTCATCTGGGGAGCAATTTCACAGCTTCCTGTAGCCATTGATGAGAAACTCCCTTTCTAAGGGACGTCACATCTTCTAGGTTCTCGAAGCCCTTTTTCTGTATTAAACTTGTTAGATCACCAACCCTGTTTGCTGCATTACCTGCCAAAATGCCTTCATTTATTTCTTATTGGTTGTTTTATCCTAGGAAATTTTTGTGGGTTCATGCCCCCCCAAAAAAAACCAACTAAAGACATTGTGCCTCAGTTACTTTACTCCATATCCCTTATATAAGAAGGCAATGTGACCTATTCTTTTATTTATTTTTGTTTATTTTATATGAAAGTTTTGATTTCAGATTACTATGAGGATGCAGACAATTAGGTTACATTGTTTGCGTTTATGAGGTAGAGTCCAAGTTGTTGTGCCCTCACCCTGGAGGTGTGTCACGCACCCTTACCTTGTATCTGTTAGGTGAGAGCACACCAGTCCCCTTCCTCTTCCCCAACTCCCTTCCTGTCCCCCACTTGAGTTTAATTGTGTTTTTCTTTTATGTGGGTGTGTATTTGTTCACCTACTGGCTTCATATTAGTAATGAGTACATTGGATATTTGCTTTTCGATTTTTGTGATGCTTTACCAAGTAGAATGTTCTCCAGCTCCATACAGTTTATTATAAAAGATGTAAATTCTTCATCTTTTTTATAGCTGAATAGTATTCCATGGTATACATATGCCGTAGTTTATTAATCCATTCCTGTGTAGATGGGCACTTGAGTTGATTCCACATCTTGGCAACTGTGAACTGAGCTGCAACAAACATTCTAGTGCAAACGTCCTTAAGATAAAATGATTTTCTTACCTATTCTCTTTTAGTGCCAAGTATCAAGCTCACATGAATACTTTTGTCATGTAACATGTACCATATTCTTTCACGATACCCTTTTAGGCTTGGCTGCCTGCACAGTTAAAAGAATTCTCAGTGCTTAGAAATAACTACCAAGAGTACTGACATACCATTCTTTTCTCTTTTACTAAATCAGCATTTCTCAAATTCATTCAGGTCGTGGAGCACCTAGAAGCTGCTTTCCTCCTTGTGAACACTGAAATATCGATAGAGTTAATAACATCACACAAAGGATAATTTTTCTAACAGGGAAATAATGACACCCTTATCTGTGGGCAGGACATCGTCATAGCCAGGCCAGGTGCAGTTAAGAAAACAAGCTGCCTGCTTGAGCAGTATTCTGAGTTCTTCCACTAATATATTTGTTACTTGTTTATCTATGTGGTAGCTGCCGACACTTTGCTGATAGAAGTAACTGGAGTTTCAAAAAAGTTACAGTTAGTAGAGCTTAAATTTTTTCTGCAAATTGGAATCTGCCATCGTTCAGTTTGAGTGACAGAACATTTCATTGGAGTTTCTGTGCTCCACAGGACCCTGGTTTCAAAATTCCTGACCTAAAAGGGTTTTGATTTTCACTTGGGAGTTTAACTATTTTGTTTATGCATTTATTTTAATATTTTAAATAGCCGTAGACGCTTTAGAAATGGGCAGGGTAAAGCTAGGCATTTCTCTTATTGTTTAGAATATTGGCCAAAAAAGAAGAGTTACAGGGGACCCAATATATTTGAAGATCCAGAAAGGGGACATATATATATGTATAATACTTGACATTTTTTGAGTATCTATTTTGTCATTTTCATAATGGTTACATCTGAAGCAATTAGACGGAAGATTTCCTTGACATTCTTTACGTTAGCCTATGTTACATATCAAGATATTCGAAAAATTAGTGGCCTTAAAGACCAAACTGTTATAGTTGTGAAAGCCCCTCCAGAAACAAGACTTGAAGTGCCTGACTCAATAGAGGTAAGGAGACAGCATATTTGTTCATCTACAAAGATTGTTGTGGAATTTCTGAAACCAATAAGTCATTGACTTGCAAAATCTGTCCCCTCCTAAGAACTTGATACTTCTCTCCCTTTAATTTTGCTTAACCCTAAATTTTGAAACATAGGAACAGTTCAGTGTTTATTGAGTGTTCAAAAGTTCAATTTTAACCTAGTAGGACATTAAATTCAAACTAGTGTAGGACATCCTGTCCCTCTTGTGCTTCCTCTGTTTCATAATTTGTTACCTGATGGTTCTCATCAAGTTGAGCCACTTGGGAAAGTTTATATTGATTACCCTGCTGATGGACCCCATCATGCATGGGGACCTGGATGTTTTAAAGTATCTCCCTAACTTAGAACATTTAAAAATTTTTTTATTATTTATAACATGTTTACTTTTAAGAAATGGGGCCTTGGGTTAATTGATAGACTAGAATGTTTTAAGAAAGTAGGGAGCATATTTATGATTTTCAAATATACTTTGATAATACAGGCATTGACTGTAGCTTGAGATAAAGAACTGTATAGTAAAAGGTAAATACATAGGAAATAAGAAGAGAATGAAATTTACAAGCTCCCAGTTTGGAACAAGGACCTTTTAATAATGTGCAGAAAAAGAATGTATTTAGAGAGCACAGTTTACTCCACCCATACTGCCATTTTCACACTGACACCACCCCCCTAAAAGTTCTCTTTCTCTAGGGCAGAACTCAGCAAGTATTTTTGACTTTCTGAGCCGTACTGTCTCTGTCCAGACTGTTCAACTACTCAACTCTGCCATTGTAACATAGGAACAGACAGAGGCAACACATAGTCAGTGGGCATGGGCATGGCTCTCTCCCAATAAAACTTTATTTACAAAGCCAGCTGGTGGACTGGATTCACCCCTCAGGCTGTGGCTTGCTGACCTTTGCTCTAGAGGATGACAGTCATTGATAAGTTAGAATAGCAGGACAAAGGAAATGACAATGAACATTACTCTTATTTTCCATTTTTAGATGAATGTTACCGTGACTTTTAATTCTAAAAGAACATCTGCTTCTGTTCCTAGAGCCTACAAATACATTTGGCAAGTACCCAAGGACCCATTGAGGTTTACTTGTGTCCAGAAGAGACTGAAACACACAGTCCAATGAAAACAAACAATCAAGACCACAATGGGAATATCCCTAAACCCACTTCCAAAGGTAAAAATTCCACTCTTGTCTTTTGGAAACTATGTTAAAAGTGACAGTGACTAGAAGGATCCTGTGTTGGAACCACTAGTCTAGGCAAGAAACACAAACTTCTGTTGTTAATTAGGGTAACATTTTTAGAAAGATTTTTTTTTTTCTTTTTCTCCTAACTTATTTTTCCGTTTCCACCAATATTCCCTTTCAGACTCGGCTTCAACCAACTCAGGACATAACGACTGCTCCATTTCTATGGCAAACCTTTCTCCCTTGGCCTCCCCAGCCAACCTTTTACAGCAGACTGAGGACCAAATTCCTTCCAACCTAGAAGGACCGTTTGTGAACTTACTGCCCCCCCTTCTCCAAGAGGACTATCTCCTGAGCCTTGGGGAGGAGGAAGGCATCAGCGATCTCTTTGATGCTTATGATCTGGAGAAGCTCCCGCTGGTGGAAGATTTCATGTGTAGTTGATTATGCTTGTGTGACCTCTCCTTACAAACCGATATTTTTCTATCATGGAACCAGACCATCTGTCATGCAGTGTTGTCCCTTCCTACCTTCTTCCTCCAAGAGAGTATCATGAAGTAAACTACAAACTTCAGAAGAAAGCTGATATTTTACTGAATTTTTTTTTTTTTAATAAATTGTCTAAACGCACAGTTGCAGGCTCTCTTGGGAAAGCCCTGCTTTGCCCAGGCTCCAAGATCTCCTGGATTGGTCAGCAAGTGAGAAAATGTGCAATCAGGTGTCCCTCACCCAGACTCTTCCTTCCTCCCCCGCCCCCGTCCTCCCGGATTGGCTTGCTGTGCCTGACGGATGGGCTGTAGAATGGGGTGCGGCCGCCTGGCCCACTCGCAAACAGCAATCTTCCTTAATAGCATTTCAAGCCGTGCCTTCTCTGCAGAATGCATGTCTTTGGGGTCTGCTACTATGGAATGGAACTGCAGCCAATGCAAACTTGAAGTCATGCAGAAGTATGAAATGAATTTCTTCAGCTCTTAGGAATATTTAAATTACTGTCATAATTCAGTTTAAGCTATGGACCATGTGTCCACTAGGAGGTCAAGGGAACCTCCGCAGCCTTTCAGATGAAGAACCTGTTTCAGATGTGCTTGTTGCAGATACAGAGGACGAGCAGAGTTCTGCCACTCTGAGCTGTTGTGGATTTTCCTGTCTCCATAAACTCCTCCCACTCCCCATCCCCACTGTGTTTGTGAGTCTCCATTTGATTTGTAGCAAATGCCTACTTAGGAGTTCTTTGTGGATTGTTTTTAGATGTTTTATTTTTTTAGCTGCCATTTAAGCATTCCTGTGGCACCCATCACCATTTCAATTTAATTGTTTACTTTGAAGCGGTTTTTGCAAATTCACATTACTTAAGCAGAGGGAGAGAACCTCTACTGATCAGAGCATCTAAACCTGTGTGCCCTAAGGTCTACCAGCCTCTGCAAGCATCGTCCCATCTTCTTCCTTTCCCAGTAGAGAGAGCTTGGAGCCAGTCAGTCCTGGGGCTCGCCAACTGGGTTGGCCCATCAGAAAGGAGAACCAGGTCGGATGACTACGTAGCAATCCCAAGGAGCAGCAGGCATGGATCCCACCGTCCTTGGGTTGCCTGGGCCCTTGTGACCGGGGAAAGGGCTCTCTTACTCCGCACTCAGGGAGACCACTTCTCAGGATGGGGTCAGATGGAGAGGCCTCCAGGTAGAAAGACACCCCCATTGTGTGAGTGGCATTTCCTTAAGCTGGTAAGAACAAGGAGCTCCCACTGTGTCGGGGGCTAGAGTAGTTCTGGCCAGAACCCATTCCCCTTCATCTATGACGGAATGAGTAAGGGAAGTCAGGATGCAGAAGATGAAGGGAAAGAGTGCTGGGGCGTCTCCGCTTTACTCTTCAGGAGTGGTGGCCCACGTTGGGGACTTGATGTCAGCTGCAAATCCTACAGGTTATGTCCAGAATGGCTTTCCCGTGGGCAGGTGGCCCTGGCCATCTCCCACTGGGAATATGACATCTTAGGGCTTTCAGTCCATTCCTTAGATGCTAAGCACTGTGGGAATGAGGGAGTCAGATAAAGGATAAACCTCAGTAGGAACAGTTAAATTGAAATGGCAGTGTGCCTGGCCCAGCAGCACGCACTGTAGTAGGCACTCAACTCATACGTGTTTAACTGAATTGAAATATCCCTTAGGAAAAAAAACAAAAGCAGAAACCACAAGAGCCCCAGCCAGTTTACTCTAGGTAGATGTCCACAATATGCAAAGTGGTGGTGGGGTCAAGTCTGATGACACCAGCACTTTAAACTCTCTGTGTGGGTGTGCATGGGTGTATGTTTGGGAAGAAAAACAAAGGTGCAGATTAGCTTCCTTTTTCTTCTTCAGCCTCCATCCCCGGCCTCCTCCCCTCACACACACTGGACTTGGTACAAAATATCAGTGTGGTCCGAGATGAAGCGTTGGGGTGGGGGAGGCAGAGGGAGCTTTGTGTTAAGTGCCTACTGGAAATGCACTGTGGGGTTTTTTCCTGTATGGGAAACCATTTATGCCAAGCTTTCCCCCATTTCCCATATTTATCTCATCTGGTTAGCTGCCTCTGCTTCCAGCTTTGTGTGATTCTCTTTGCCAGCTGCACAAAGCTGATTTTTTCCAAAGTCTGAAGACTGAACTCACCCGGCTAGGTTGTTGTGTGTTTTGTTGACTTTCTCGTTGAACCTTTTCATAATGTAATGCCGTATTTATTATTTTAAAAATGAAAGGAATACTAATAAATCTGAAAAGTTCCTTCATGCATAAGATTTTTCCAGTTACTGGGTGTAACTGGTGTACATTAATTAGATGTCCATACTGTATTCTGTTCACATTAATCATTTTCTTTTTCGCATAGTATCTGGCACACAAAGTGGGTTAGTACTACAGTATTTGTGTTACTTTAAGTACTAAGTATGCAGGTTTCCTGGTACCATTGAGTTGCTGCTATTAAAGCTCACACATGAAATGGCTAAAAGTTACAAGTGTGCGAATTATGACTGCGTGAGCCTTAGAATATAAAATGTATAAAGGGCAACACATGAGCTGTCAAACAGTGTTAGATGTGTGTTTATATGTACAGAGTTGTGCATAGCAATCGTTTTATTTAAGTTGATATGTAGTCTACTCACATTTTCATTATTTAGCAATTTTGTATAAAAAATAGCAATTAATTTGTAAACACTGCCAGAATATTTTCTAGCTGGTTTATAATTTTTTAAGAGTGTTATTTTGTTTGTTTTTTTGTTGTGGTTCTTGTTTTCATTTTTGTTGTAGATCTGTAAATAAAATTGCAGTATTTAAAGCTTTAGCTTTCAGGAAAAAGAAAATAAGAACTCAGTGTGTGCATGACAACTTGTGTGTGAGAAGGAGGGATTTGAAGGAAGAAGCCTTGCAGAGTAAGTTGGGTGGCAATTGTCAGGGTGTGGGAATTTCTTTTCCTGCGGGGGTACCTGATTTTGTAAAAAGGAAGTATTTCTCCCCAAAGTGGGAGTAGGTAAACTACTAATCAATTTAGCTTTGTGTTGTATGCTAGTTTAAAAAAGAAAATATGTAATATAATGTAAAAAAAACAAACAAAAAAAGCTTTTATGATGGATTTTGTAAATAGATTTGTTACAGGGTGACCTGTTCTCTAGCTGTGATCTTACCACTTCAAATGGGTGTAATTTGAATAAATTTTGTATGGTAAAGGATCAATAAAATGATTTTTTTTTTATGAGTTCAGACTCGTGGTTGGGTATTCTTAATATTATCTTACACTGTTATATTAATTAAATTGTTAAAGACATTTAAGGAAAAAGGTGGCAGAAAAGCTGAAACATTGCATGCTTTACCCTTTATTGAGGACTTTGGGAACAAGTATTTGTTGAATACCTGTGGTAAGTTCCATACTCCGAACTCAGCCGTGTCCCTGTGACACTGAAGGAGGATTTTTACACTCAGAAAGTGACAAGTTTCTCTCCTCATGAGGTATGAAGCCAGTAAATTATAATTCTTGTCTGGTAATGTTCTCCCATGTTCTAGATTCTATATTTCTTACAGTACCCCCTCTGAGCAGATTAGAATGTTTGACGGCCATGGCACTTTATTATCTCTGAACTTACCGTCCCCAAACCCCTAAGTGCTATATACGGTACCCACACAAAATCAACATGGAAGGTTATGAAGTAAAACAGAAAGGAAGACGTGCCCCTCCCCCCAGCTGTTCTCCCAAGATTACGAATGTTCTCATCTTTCTCGTATCATCCTTCTAGTCCTTGCATTTTCTAGGTACATATAAACACATACATGTATTTAACATGATTTTACTTAAATACATATATGCTGATCTGTAGCTGCTTTCCACTAAATCCATCTACATCTTTCCATGTTAGTATTTACAAATGATGTTTTGTGTTCTCCAAAGACTGCATCGCATTCCAGTGATTAGCAATTTATTTAATCATTCACCCAGGTAGCTTACTGTTAGAGAGATATTTTCATTGTACTCTAAAAATATTTTGTAAGATTTATAGCATACTTGTAACTTACATCAGGTTCTTTTTTTACAACACACAAAGCGAAATTTACCAGTAGTGACATTTCATACATTCACAGTGTTGTGCAACCATCACCTCTATCTAGTTCCAGAACATTTTTGTCACCCCAAAAGGAAACCTTGTATCCATTAAGCGGTCACTCCTTATTCCCTCCTGGCAGCCTCTGGCAACCGCCAATCTGTTCTCTGTCCCCATGGATTTGGCTATTCTGGATATTTCCTATAAATGGAATCCTATAACATTTGGCCTTTTGTGCCTAACTTCTGTCGCTTAGATGAATCAGTAGTTCAGTCCTTCTTATATCTGAATAATACTCCCTTGTAAGGATATACCATGTTGTGTGTATCCATCCATCAGCTGATGAACATGTGAGTATTTCTATTTTTAGGAATGCCAGGTAGTAATTTTAAGTGCTTTATATGAGTGCACTATGTTTTTTTTTGTCAAAGCAGACATCACTATTTCAGACATTATCTCTCTCCCCTTCTAGAATGAAAGCTCAGTGAAGAAAGGTGCATGACTTTGTATTTCTCACCAGGGTACCCCCAATTCCTGGAATAGGTCCTGGCAAACAATAAGCACCTAATGAATACTTAAGTGAAATATTCCTATCTTGCAGATGAGTAATCTGAGATTCAAAAATTTTATTTTCAAATAAAAATAGGACACACTAACATAGTGAGCTCAAAGGATTTTTGCCACATGTTGTCCTCATCTTCCACATCTTGACTTAACTTTTTTTAAAAAAGCATTTTTGCAGCTCAGCGCCCGGAGCTCAGTGAGTAGGGCACTGGTCACATACACCGAGGCTGATGGGTTCGAGCTGGGCCCAGGCCTGCTAAACAACAATGTCAACTGCAACAAAAAATAGCTGGGTGTAGTGAGGAGTGCCTGTCATCCCAGCTACTTCGGAGACTGAGGCAAAAGACTCACTTAAGCCCAAGAGTGAGGACGCATCATAGTTGCGTGAGCTATGATGCCATAGCACTCTACCAAGGGCAACATAGTGAGACTCTGTCCCAAAAAAAAAAAAAAAAAAATTTGTCCTGTTACCCAGACTTCGGAAGCCGAATTTCTGATATTTAACATAGCCTCTATCCTCCGCAGGGGTCTGCATATGTGGTCAGCAGGCAGTCAAGCCTATGACCAAGTCAGTGATAAAACTGAACAAGACAGTATAAAGATTCCTTCATTCAGGGAGACTACTGATGGGGAGAAAAGGCTAGCCGATAAAACAAGAATTGCCCACCTATGAAAGCGGTTGAAAAATATAAACAAGATGAATTTGAATCAATCATGTAATTGTGTATAATTTTTTTTTAAGAAAGTCTCACTCTGTTGCCCCACGTAGAGTGTAGTGGTGTCATCATAGCTCACTACAATCTCAGGCTCGTATCAAACAATCCTCCTGCCTCAGCCTCCCAAATAGCTACAGGCACCTACTACAATGCCTATCTAATTTTCCTATTTTTAGTGAGACAGGGTCTTAGTCTTGCTCAGGCTGGTCTTGAACTCCTGAGCTCATGCAATCCACCCACCTCAGCCTCCCAGAGTGTTAGGACTACAGGCGTGAGCCACTGCACCTGGGCTATATACATACTGTTTTTAATTCAGAACCTTAACCAAATACTGTTTTGGAAATGTCTCAGTAATATTAACAGCTGGAAAATAAAGACTTGGTTCCTGTCAGCAAGAGAAAGTTGACAGTCTAGTTGGGGCAGATACAAGTTTCAGAGAGGAGAAGCAAAATGGAGGGCCAGATCTCAAATAAGCTATTTTTCTTTCTGAAGCCATTTTTGGAAGAATTGGAAGGACAGATGGGTAGGGGCTGAAACAGAAATGGAGGGTAGGTGTAGCCTTGCCACTGGAAAGCTTTCCAGAACAGCAGAGATCCTCATCTGGGGGGGGGGGGGCAATTCCTAGTCCCAGGTCTGGCATCTGAATTCAGGAGGGCTTTTAGAGAGGAACTCAGGGGAAAGCAATGGATTCATTTTCTAGGATCTGTGGAACCCCAATCTACAGCTAAACCACAACTCTGATACAAAGGAAAATGACAAGATTAAACTGTAGGTCACACATCAGGATATTGGGGAGAATATGACTACCTAGAATTGACCAGCCCGAAGTCCATCAGAAGCTCAAGAAGTAGCATTCACTCCAGGAAGTTAGAGTTCCACTGAATACAAACAGCAAGGCTTGTTCGTGCCCTTAAATCTGGGCCTCAAAGATTGAAAGATAAACAGAAGAATTTATCAATATATTCTGAAATTTTAAAAACACCAGGGAACCGAAAAGGAACAAAGGCCCCATGATCAGGGACTCGCCTGAGAAGCAACATTGGAAACCCAGCATTGCAGCTGTTAGGGAGATCCAGGGCTCAGGCATGTATCCTGTCACAGAACAGACCATTTAGTATCCAGCTGAAGGACAAGCTCTATCTTCTCTTCCTTATGTGAACTACAGTGGCTGAATTCACACAAATCAGGAACACAGAAGCTTAGGAACTGAAACTGAAGGAATTGAGATAAACCAACTAACCAACAATACTGTGTCAACTGGTAGAATCAGATACTATAAAATCATAGTTTCTGAGTTGAAATGTCACTTCACTTCTGACAAGGAGCTGGTTTCATGGTGTGATAATTCAATGATCAGCTGGGGTTTTTCATCAGTAACAGTCTCTATGCTCTTTCTTCTGTATCTGTAAGGTCTCTTAGTTCCCTACTTAAATATGCACATCAGAAACCTGCCTCTGCCTAGTGTTAGCCCTGGAACCATCACTCGGCTGTCATGATTAATTAATCATTTTGAATTAACAAGAGTTTCTGGAATATCCCTGTTTATGTTCTCTATCTACTGTTCCATACCATGTTTCATAAGTGCACAGCAATCATACTTGTAGCCTATGAGCAAAACGACAAATTGGAAGATAAATCTTTAGAAAGCATAAGTTTGGAGGACTCATCAGTGCTTCTTTTGTCGTTAGCATTTGATAAAAATGGATTTGCTCTTTTTAAATGGTGGAAGAATCAAATTGACAGCAGCTTTTAAATGGGGTGTTTCACTTCCTCCATGAAAGACTCCTCTTCCTTTATAGACCACTTTTTAGCTTCAGGAGTCTTTAACACAGATTTTCTGCATAATCAAAGTCAGGGCACTTGCCTCAGCTGAAGCCTAAATTATACTGTATATCTTATGCCTGAATAGTCCTTAGCATTGTAGAGGGCTTTATAGTTTGCTAAGTATTTTCATATGCCTGTCTCTTCATTTAAAGCCATTTGTAACTGATGGTAACAGCTGCAGAAGTAACTAATCAATCTGAAAAATGACAGAACAGTATGTGGGCAGTGCTGTAAATGGGAGAAGAAAAGCATTTTGCTCTGAACCATACTCTGGAGACCCAAGGAGCAAAAAAAGAACACCGCAGGTCCACAGGAGAGACCTGAAATAATGATGTCAGTGAACAGAAATTAAACTATGCCAACAAAGAGAGCATGTTCATGTGGGTGGGAATGGGAAGTGTGTGTGTGTGTGTGTGTGTGTGTGTTTAGGAATGGGAGGAAACACAAGGAGACTCAAGATATTTAAAAAGAGCCACAAACTAAATTCTGTCCATGACAAGAAACCAAAGAATCAACATTCCTTTAGTCAAAGAACTACCACACCATTGACTGAGAGTTTAGGTATCTGTTAAGGGAAGAGAGTGGGTGCTAAAGGAAAGGGCAAGCAAAGGGGTGTAATGAAGAAAAGGAAATGTAGAAAGTTTAGAAACAAGTCTCATGCCTGGTCCTAGGAAAGAGATGAGCCAGCAACTGTGGACAAAACTTAGTTGCAAGTACAGAAAAAAAAAAAAAAAAAAAAAATGGATGGGCCTTCTGCTGCTGGCAATATGGCAGATTAGATAACTAGGAAACCCTCCTGTTGTAAAACATCTAGATTCAACAGAAAACACAATTTTGTTGGTGAGATTATGAGAATTTCCCAAAGGACGAGAAGAACAAAAGACCTTAGCTGAAAAGAAAGGTTGAGAAGCGTGCACATAGGAAAGGCAAGGACACCTAAGACACCTGCCAATTTTATTGCCAATATTGTTACCAGAATTGAGAGACAAAGCCTTGGGACAACAAAGATTGAAGCACTAAACCTAAGACTCCTAATTAAGCAGAGAAGGTTCTAGTGCTCT